CAGGGCAAAGAATGAGCAGCCTGAGAAACACAAGTCTGCAGCCCTTTATTCTGAAAGCATTCACTCAAGAATACGGCCTCAAGCCGTAGTACTTAATCCTCTGTGTCTTCCATATGATACTCATTTCCATGTGTCTAACTATTGAGGTCCCGCGACCCACATGAGATCACACAACTCCTGAAGTATGCCACTTGTGATCATTTCAACAGTCTTAGTTGCGCTCTCATTTAACGCGGCGTCCGCGCTCTGCCAAGGCATATTTGGTGTCGAGCTTGACTACGTCTGCTTCTGCACATCCCTCCAGGGCCCCTTTCATACGTCTGAGTGTTACAGCAGGTCACGGCTGTCTCTTGGGAAGGAAAGAAGATACCGTTGTGCCTGGGTGGCTTTAGGACCGAGGGTGGATGATGGAGATGGATGTGCTGGAACATGTGGGGATGTTTTCCCTCACTTACACCGACAGAAATCATACAATCATCAGCATTTCATATCTCTGTTCATCCATACTCATGTCTGCTCCTCCCATCTCAGAACAAGCCTAACCCTGATTCTAACTTCAACCAAAACTACTTAGTGTTAAAAAGAAGAGATATCTAACCAAAACTTTCAAGCTTTTACAAAATATCATGACTCTAAACGCTCGAAACCTCAACCTGTTTCTGAAAAAGATGGCTGGGAATGTTTTTATTTCACTCTATTCGCTGTGTGGCTTCCTGAGACACTTACGTTGCTCAGATGAGAAGTTTTTCTTTTGAGAAAGCTGTGACCCATTCTGAACAGGCAGGTGTAAAACTGTCTCCCATCATATAGTAATTATAACTGATTCAAATATGATAAAAAAAAAAACTTTTAATATGTCTTTTATGTGAAAGAAAAAGATTTAGGAATTTACACTTTAAGGCGTTTTTTATATATATAGTCATTCAGTTAAGTCATTACATTCATATTACAACTTGATTTAACAATCTGCATAGAATAATACATTTAATAGATGTTTTACACTTTTAATGCAACCAAAGTTAAATTCATTCATTCTTTAAGAAACTAAACTAAAAAGAAAATCATTTAAAACATAAAATACACTTGGTCACTGGCCAGCCACATTTAGTCTAAAATCAGTGCTCTGCAGCATCCTGACGTGCTAACGAAAAACAAAGAACATCGGACACGAGCTCCTGGTTTGTGTCACTGCAGCTGGGTTGCAGAGATATTTTTGGTTTGTGAAGAAGAGGTGTAAAAATGCTGGAGTGTGACCTGCCTGTGGCTGCTGTAAGTGTCTGCATTAAAGGACTTTGTTTACTTCAACGTGTTGCTGAGCATTTCAGCATCGGGCCAGACCAGACAGGAGCAGCTGCCTTCATGCTTCAGTTTCAGTAAAGCTGTGTTTCCCCCAAACTTTTTGGCTCGTGACCTTTTAAAGGGGTCGTTAATGGCTTTGCCTAAATCTTACTTGACATTCAAAGTGCCGAAAAATATATTTGATGGGAATACATTTGACTCTTTTCAGAAGTCATCTGCAGGCGTGAACATCATCTATCTAATCATGATGCTTGTAAAAGCATGATGGCATGTAAGAAGTAAAGAGGCTTTAACCTTACTTAACTGCAGTCCTCACATGGCAGATCACGGTAGATTAAAAATAAAACTTGAGTCATGATTTCAGAGAAGAGACGTTGCTGCTGACGTATTTAAATGTATTTTAGGGGAAAGCTATTAGATTCCATTTTATTCAAGAGAAGCCAGGCAAAGTGAGAAACTCACAGCCAACCCAAACCAACCCAGAGAGATGAGTAGCATGAGTAGCACTGCAGGCCACAGGGGAAATATGTCATTTTGGTTATGTTTTGTCTTTATTTCATTTTCTAAATTGTAAAATCTCACTTTTGTTCCAAGACCTATTTAGGCTGGCAGCATAATTTCT